ACTCTCCCCGCCAGTGCCTCCCATGGGCCATATGTAGGTATGTCTACATGTACGAAGTACCTCCTAGTTAGTCCCCTCGAAACTCTGACCTTTTTGATTCTCGTCCTTCCAACTTCCATCTTTAGCCAAACCTTTAATTGCATCTCTTCTTTCCCTTTTCCCTGCTCCGTCTCTACCGGGCACAATTCAAAGCTACAAACGAGTCTGTCAGAACGCACGGCTAGCAAATCCACCAGATTACGCTCTTGTTTATCACCCACAAGGACCATCCAGAAACCTCCCCCCGCCGCAACTGTCAGGTTCGCCCTGCCTGTCCTCCTACTCTTCTGGCGGTTGTCGTGTTTCACGTTACCTCGACCGAGAAGTGAAGAGGAACTTAGGGAAAAAAAAAAAAAAGAGGCGAACCTGCCAGGCCTGCATACCAGCACGCGGCCATCCACCATCTATCGGCGACCACCCACATCCACGTCCACCACTCGAGGGCAGAAAAAATAACCACCCCACCCGCCGCGTTTGGGGTCTCCGCCTTTGCCTACTCACACGTGCGACTTGTGGCCGGCCTTTGGCTTCCTTTAAAACATCACTACAATACCCAACACCACAAGAAGCCGCATGACGAGACGCTCTGCGACCTACAATCATGTCGAGCTCAGAGATTAATCAGGTGCTCGCCAACTCGCTGTCTCCAGGTAGGTTCACACCACCACAGTCCATCTTTTGGGTTCCCCTGGATTCTGGCATTCTAGCCGGCCCCTCGCTCGCCTCAGCGGTCCCTTTCTGCTCCCTGAGGCGGGCGAGGCCTTCCTTGTATTGCATTTGCGTGGCCTTTGTGGATCTTGGTCACTATCTGCCCATTCATCTTGGATTCAAAGTTGCGATTCCATCTTGCTGACAGAGTTCCTTGCACAGACGCGAACCTGCGAAATGCTGCCGAGCAGCAGCTTAACCAGGCTGCGGAGAGTAACTTCGTAAGTTGCCGGATCATCCCCCCCCTCCCCCTCTTCCATATGCCCCTGGTCGAGCTTCATGCCTCACCTGGCTTACTCGTGCTGACTGAGTTTGCGTGCCTTGCTTCAATATAGCCGCTTTACCTGGCGACCCTGGTACAAGAACTTGCCAACGAACAAGCAGAGGGGCCCATCCGAGTTGCCGCCGGTTTGGCCCTGAAGAACGCCTTCACAGCCCGAGACTTTCAGCGTCTGCAAGAACTTCAAACCAAGTGGCTGCAACGGACAGACGAGGATACCAAGTCGCGCGTAAAGCAACTCACCCTGCAAACTCTTTCGTCCAACAATGCCCAAGCCGGCAATGCTGCTGCCCAAGTCATCTCCTCTATTGCTGCCATCGAGCTGCCTCGCAACCAGTGGAGTGACTTGATGCCCTTTCTGGTCAAAAACGTTACCGAGGGCGCCGACCACCAGAAACAGGCCTCTTTAACCACTATCGGTTATATCTGCGAAAGCTCCGACTCGGAACTTCGGGTTGCTCTCGTCTCTCACTCAAACGCCATCTTGACAGCTGTCGTTCAAGGGGCCAGGAAAGAGGAGGCCAACAATGAGGTTCGATTGGCCGCTATTACCGCCCTTGGCGACTCGTTGGAGTTCGTTAGTAGCAACTTCAAACATGAGGGAGAGCGAAACTACATCATGCAGGTTGTCTGTGAGGCCACCCAGGCCGACGACTCGCGTATTCAGCAGGGCGCCTTTGGCTGTCTCAACCGAATCATGGCTCTCTACTACGACAATATGCGCTTCTACATGGAGAAGGCTCTGTTTGGCCTGACTATTCTTGGAATGAAGTCTGATGACGAGGATGTTGCCAAGCTTGCTGTCGAGTTCTGGAGCACTGTCTGTGAGGAGGAGATCAACATCGAGTATGACAACGCCCAGGTTGAGCGTTCAGACCAAATGCGCAACTTTTACAATTTTGCACGCGTTGCTGCTAACGAGGTTGTCCCCGTGCTGTTGTCACTTCTTACGAAACAGGACGAAGACGCCACTGACGACGAGTACAACATCTCCCGCGCTGCCTATCAGTGCTTGCAGCTCTACTCACAGGCCGTTGGTGCTAGCATCATCACCCCGGTCTTGCAGTTTGTTGAGGCAAACCTTCGCTCCGAGGATTGGCACTTCCGCGACGCTGCTGTCTCGGCTTTCGGCGCCATCATGGAGGGGCCGGATGAGAAGGTCCTGGATCCTATCGTCAAGCAGGCTCTTCCCATCCTGATCACCATGATGGATGATCAATCTTTCCAAGTCAGGGACTCCACAGCCTTCACTCTGGGACGTGTTACGGATGCGTGTGCAGAGGCCATCGATCCCGTTCAGCAACTCCCTACTCTCATCGAGTCATTATTCAAGGGCCTCATGAGCAACGCCAAGATGGCTCCTTCATGCTGCTGGGCTCTCATGAACCTGGCTGAACGATTCGCCGGCGATGTCGGTGCTGCTTCCAACCCCGTGACGCCTCACTTCAACCAGGCCGTCAGCTCCCTGCTCGATGTCACGGCCAGACAGGACGCCGAAACTTATGTGCGCACCGCCGCCTACGAGGTGCTCAATGTCTTTGTACAGAGCTCCGCTTCAGACAGTCTGCAGGCCATTGCCTCGCTATCCGATGTCATCATCAAGCGTCTGCAAGAGACTGTTCCGTTACAGTCCCAGGTTGTCAGCGTAGAGGATAAGATTACCCTCGAGGAGATGCAAAACAGCTTGTGCACGGTTTTGCAGGCCATTGTCATTAGACTTGATAAGGATATCGCGCCGCAAGCTGATCGTATTATGGAGATCCTACTCCAGATCCTTAACAGCGTCGGAGCTAAGTCTAGCGTCCCCGAGGCTGTTTTCGGAACAATTTCTGCCCTCTCCACAACAATGGAGGAGGACTTCATCAAGTACATGGATGCGTTTGCTCCTTTCCTGTACAATGCTCTAGGAAACCAGGAAGAGCCCAGTCTCTGCTCCATGGCTATTGGTCTGGTCAGCGATATCACCCGCTCCATGGGAGAGCGCAGCCAACCATTCTGCGATAATTTCATGAACTATCTACTTAACAACTTGAGGGTATGCAGATCTATTCGCCCCCACCCCACATTATATTACGTATCCGGCTGACCCTTGTTTGTTAGAGTACCGCTCTCTCCAACCAGTTCAAGCCGGCTATTCTCCAATGCTTCGGCGACATTGCCGGTGCCATTACTGGACACTTCGAGACGTATTTGTCTGTGGTGGCTCAGGTTCTGGAGCAGGCCTCGACGGTCACTGCTGCGCCCGACGGTCCCATTGAGATGGTTGACTACGTGATTTCTCTTCGTGAAGGTATCATGGATGCCTGGGGTGGCATTATTGGTGCCATGAAGTCTAGCGGCAAGAGTAGGTGGCAGGTTCCTGGCATTTGCGGTCTATCATCCTTAACAATGACCAGTTTGCTAATCTTTTCGCAGCGCAAGCTCTGCAGCAATACGTCCCTGCAATCTTTAACTTGCTTGGTCAGATTGCCAACGATACCATCCGAAGCGAGGGATTGTTGCGTGCGAGCATGGGCGTTATTGGGTATGTGTGAATAGGCCTTTTAATCTATCCCTGGACACCCGCTAACCTCTTTGTAGTGATCTTGCTGATGCTTACCCCAATGGTCAATTGGTGGACGCATTCCGCCAGGAGTGGCTGACGGCCATGATCAAAGAGACCAAGACTAACCGCGAGTTCAAGCCGCAAACCATTGAGACTGCTCGCTGGGCTCGGGAACAGGTCAAGCGTCAGCTTGGAGGTGCTCAAACCGTAATGTCTTGAGCCACTCCGTTCGACACAACCTACCAGGAAGAGTTTAGAACCACGGACCAACAGTCGAGACTCCCCTCATTGTCCTTGCGATGTCGCCTTGGTCTCTACGACTTCGAAAGAGGTCAACGGTCCACGCCACGGCGCCAGCGGTACCACCGGCATTCCCGCCAACAACACGATTCCTACGACCCTTTCACGTGTATATAGAAACCCCCACGACACTTCAGTAATCAAAATACCCCCCCTCATCAATACTACGATATTGATTCCCCCCTTGCCCCCAAATGCCCCCGTGTTCTAATTTACAGACACGCATCTACCATTATCATTTCCCTCGCCCCCAATCCCTTTTCCACTTCACAACCCCCAACATATTGCCCACTACACATCTTTTGTTTAATTATCTCAATTTACAATGAAGGGATAGAGAAGTCATGTAAAGCCCCGCATGGAATTTCTCAAAAAAAGAGAGCGGCGGCACGTTATAAAGTCATGTAGAGAGGAACAGGGAGTACAGGCGGCAGGTTTCTACTCTTTGGTCAGTTTTTATTTTACCTTATTATTTTTTTTTCCTCCCCTCGCCTCGGGCTCAAATATCAGCTTTTTGTCACATTCTATATGATTTTTTTTTTTTTTTCATTTCTTCCATTGTGTTTTTCTTGTCTCATGTCATTTGCGCTAGGCGCCCTTCAAGTGAATGGGATCCTTCTAGAGCATATACGCAAAAGCCGGATCTGGGATTACAGCATCATCAGTCAGGAAGAGAGAGGTATGTTGTGGATGAATATGAAGATGTTACATAGGGGTGTGTCGGTGAAAGATATGGAAAGACTGTGCAAACGGAGAGAGCGCATGGTTTGATTTGCCTGGATGGGTATTTTGGCGAGCGTGTGCTGGTGGTATTAGACTTGGCATCAAGTGATGCTTGTCAGACGCAGGCTACACGAACAGTTCAATAAGAATAGTTGGTCCACTCTCGTCGTCGCGTGCCTACATCTGTTGTTGTTGTTGTTGTTTTCTTCACCGACTGTGCGATGATTTGCCTATTGTAGTATGATTCACGGGTATGTCTACTCGAAAGTGGGGTTCGGTCTGAAGATGAATGGGCTCGACTGCTGATTCAATAGGCCATGTATGTGTTCTACGGTGTATATTTGGTACGTGGTATATAGATCGTGAAGCTGCCATCTGGCGCTTCGGTCATGGCCAACCCGTCTCTCATTGCATCGTGTCCAGCCAGACACTGCTGTTTATCCAAGCGGACGTCGGCCCGTCAATGTAAAACTGCAATTCGCCCTCAAAACCATCCGTCCCAGGAACAAGTTGCGGATTGAAGTTGCCCGCGCCATAATGCGGAGCCGGCGGGCCGGGATGGTTTGAGTCAAACGCTTCGATGAGCATGCCTAGTCCGTCGGCGTTTTGGCGGTCCATCGGGGTGTGCATGTACATGTTGTGGGAGTCTGGTAGGACTCCTGCGTGAGGAGGCTGGGGGTGGTTTGCGTACGGGTGTGGAGAGATTGTTGCTGGTGCTGGAAGGGGTGCGCTTGGATAGCCGTGCGATTGATGGAGTTGTGGTTGGGTTTGTTGTTGCGGTGGAGAAGGTAACTGAAGGTTGGGAGCGGGGTTAGATGTAGCGTTTTGGTGGTGCGGTAGTCCGATGGATGATGAGGGCGGTAGTTCGGGATGTGTTCCCGGTCGTGGGAGGATGTTTGGTCCGGGTAGCGTTGGAGGAGGTGGAGGAGGTGGGATCGGTTTTGCGCTAGGGAATAGGGGTGGTAATTGTCGTGTAAAACGGGGAATGGGATCTTTTCCATCGTCCATGCTTCCTTCGTTGCCAAACGTGGCCGATTGCGGATCGAGGGAGAACTTCTCGAGGGCTTCTACCCAGCGTGCTGCTAGGGGCCATACTTCTCGGCATTCTTTGAGAATGTTGATTGTTCTTTGGAGCATAATTGGTCCGTCACGGACGAGGGCTTTGTCTGGGCAGACTGGTGGGTTTGATGTTGGTTTGTTATATTTGTAAATCGAGGACGGGGGGGGATGTGAGAGGGGGCGGCGGGCTTACTGCTGGGATATTTGCAAAGGTAGGTTGAGAACAAACCACAGCTATATACGCAAAAGGCGGCAATTTGTGCGCCGACGCTCTCATCTGGAGATCGGTTGGTGAATTGGGCATCGATTTGTGCGTACAGGCATCGCACGTTGATGAAGATTTCCTCGGACATGGATGCGAAGAAATCTTGTTTCGTGTGGTCCTTTTTGTCAGGTTTTATAATACTGTATACTTGTTGTAAGTTTGTAAACCATACTTGCGGAAAAGGTCACAGAGACGGCGTAGGGAGGGAGGGCAACTGACTCTATCAGATATGGCCTACGAAGAACGATGTTGGACAAGCGCGTCATCATTGTTACAGACAAATAGGCCAATTCCTGGCCTTCCGCCTTGTACCGTTTGAGAAGATAGGTGCTCCATCTATGTTCCTGAGGTAAATTCTGTTCCCACTGTCTCAGCTTTTCGGCCGTTTGCGAAAATTCACTTGCTGCGTCCCAGGGACATGGACTCTTGCTGAACCTGACGGCACGTCGTCCAACTACGCCCCACCAAGAGTGAATCTGCATGAGCGTTGCGAAGAGCGACCGGTTGGGATCTTGAATTAGCTTCGGGTTGTCCATAGCGGGCGGTGTCCCTTCCAAAGCAGCTCGCGATCTTGGTTTATGTCCATTTGCAAAGTCCTCTTCGTTGCAGGGTAGCAGCGTGGTGATGTCACCTGCAGACAGCGACACGGGAGACAGGGGCCCTGAATGTAAATTGTCTTGGCTGTGTAACATCCACTAACAGAGAAATTAGCTACCGTGTCGGGGAGGGTTAAATGGCAAGACTGCCTGAAAATCAGCTTCTCACAAGTGTTCGTCTTGCGGATTCGGCGCGTATGATGAGATCAGGCGTTGGGTTCGAGATATGATACGTTTCCTCTCGCTGGAGTTGCATGAGGATGGCCATTCGGATCGCAATGCCCATATTAATCTTTGGCAACCCGGGTTAGCACTGAATGAAGCATATCAGGGTAGTTGATAATTAAATTACTTACATAGCTCTTGTTGCGCTCACCACTGCCTTGTTGGGCAATGCTTAACAAATAAAAGGCTTGACATCTTTCTAGTGTAGGTTCTTGGTACACCTCTTCGAACGCAATCAACGATGCTCTTTCCATAAAGTACTCGGCGGCCTTCACACCGGTCCCATATCGTAATTTGAAGGCGGGACTTAGTCGAGCTGAAATGCTGAGGATGCCCATGAGTAGAAACAGGCTAGTAGAGCGCGAATCCTTACGCAGGCGCTCCGGATACTGCTCTTTGGGAATAAAGCCAAGTTGAAAGTACTGCTTTGTGAAAAGATTAACACCGTCAATGAGCTCCTCGAGAGGGGGAAGATTCTCCCAATTATCAGCTTGTCGTTGTTGAGTCACAGGTGAGCCATCTGCATTCAAGCGACGTGGTTTAGAGCTAGTCGAGCCACTTCGCGTACTCTTGTCGGCTTTTGTGCGAGGGTGTCGATACTCACGATCCAGATCAGGTTGTCCCCTGACTGGAAAGATGCTGTGTAAGGAGAGTGGGGTGTTAGGAGACCGGAATCAGGCGAGGAACATTCGGCGTAAGTGTAACTAACCATTCCTCTGCAGGTATGCCCGCTTCATGACAAGACTTGCACGGAGGCTTGCCCTTCTCGTGAATGCATTTGCTTCTCATCCGGCGGCATCTGCATATTGATGTTAATATTCGTTGGTATACGAATTCAGTAAAATGTCATGGTCCGACCTTCGACATGCGATTGGAGATCGGCGTTTGATTGCCGGAGCTTGGCCTTGGCTGGCGGCAGAAGCTCCGCCGTCTACGCTCAAAGGACTTGTCGCTGGGCCCGGGGCAGCTGAATTATTTGAGGCATTCGAGGTTGCAGACGTAGATGCGTTGCCCATCCCAGAGGCATAGGTATGATTCACCCCAGCAGGCCCAGCAGGGTCCATCTCCTTTGCTGGGGATCCAGCGGAGGACCAGCGGGAACGACTTGTAGAAGACGGAGTGCTCAGTGTGGTGTACAGAAGTGGGAGTGGCCTCGCTTTATTTCGCGTGTGTCTTCGGTCCAGGAGCCTCAAGCCAAGAGACTGGTCGGTCTGGCCCAGCCGGCACTCGCGAAGTATCAATCAATTCTCGTCCCTGAGCTTAATATATCGGGCAGCATATCTTTGGCGCCGCACCAGGAAGCCAGGTGTAGCCTCGCTCTTCATCCAAGTTGCAGACAGCAATTAGATGAGAGGGCTGAGCCAAGATTCTTCTATGATCTAAAAATCATGTGATATCCTTCAGCTTCAGCTTCTCCCGTTTCGATTGGAATCGTCCCTGCTGCGGCTGTGCCGATCTGCTGGTTCTCGACGAAGGTTATCAGTATGGGCTTAATCGGACGAAACTCTTGGCTAGCCACACCGGGGATGGCCAGGCTTTTTCTTCACCACCAGTTTTGACGTGCGGAATCTGAGGCCAGCCGTCAAAGTTGTCCAGAGTTCGCTTGGCTTGCTGCGTGGAGTACAAGGCTACAATAGCGCATTCTGCAAGATGCAGTCGAAAAGAAGTACCAGCCGACACTAGCCTGTCTGGGATAGTTGTGTTACTCCGTACTATGTGCAGTTGTTGACGCCCCATCAGACACTGCTGATAATATCGAAGGGCATGTGCCGGCATTGCGGCGCCATCGTCCCGTCTGACAGCCTTCGTCGAGCCAGCAGTTTATCATTTTCCATGTTGGGTCCGGGGTCACATCCTGGCATCGTTCAGCCACAATCTGTCCGGTATGAAACACTCCGTACAGTTGGAGAAGCAGTGATTTGTCCAGACCGGGTGCTTGGCTTATCAGGCGCTATGTTTTTATATTGTATGCTATACTCCGTACTCCGTAGTTAAATGCTATAACATGATGATTAGCAAAAGCTGAAAAAGCAAAAGGACAAAGAAAAGGGTATTGGAAAAATTATGCCCCAAACCCCCAGGTTTTGCAAATCCTAACCCGCCTCGCTTTCAACCTTTCGTGTGGCTCTTCTTGGTGCGGAGTAGATCCGCCAGTGCTCAGCCGGTGAGACGTATCTGGCGTTCCCATAGCTTGACTTTGAGATGTTCCACTTTACTCGGTTCAGCCTAAGCACTCCATTGTAATGGCTGTTGTTGGCAGGCCAGCCACCGCTTTGTTCTCTGTCCCCTGCGTCAGCCACTTGTTGGTAGCCTTTAAGTTGCCCGGGACGCTATAAGAGCTCCAACTGAACAATCTTGGTGGTGTACGGAGCAAGGCGGAACTCTATCCATTCAAGCCATCAGACGCGCCATCATAACCGTGCCTTACTTCATGTACACAATCCCAAAGCTGTTTATGTCGGTATGGCAACCAAAACCATCTGGTTCTTGCCAGCGGAGCCATGGGGCAGCTTCTGTGCGTTGCGCGGACCCTCTGAGTGACAGTGTCTCACGCCACCATTTTCATGCATTGCTACCCTCCGCCTGGGCAGGGTTGTCCTGCGTTGAGTGAATTAGTGGCTTCCAAACTCCAATGTCCAGGCCATGGAGAGCTGACGCGAGGCACTAGACACTTTTCATGTGGACAGAGTCGTATGGATCTCTAGCTCATCTGAAGAAAATGACGGGGACGCTCTTCTATTAACCGAAGGCCCGGGATCATCCTAGATGGACCAATCAACCTGAAGCCCGGCGAGAGGGTAATGTGATGATAAGTTCCTGTGGACAAGGGCTTTCGGGCCATGAATCTCTTGGTCACAAAATCACAATGACCCCACTACTATTTAGGTCGATCATGCTATGCTTTCGTACGGAGTACTGGCCAGGGCAACCTTGCCCATACCACGCATTGTGCGCGCTCCAATCCACAATCCTCAATTGACGGAGCTTGAGTGGGCAGGTGTGGCCCGGAACCCGAGCACAGACTGGTTCGAGCCTGGAGGGGCGGTCTATCATCGTGAGAGACGGCAGACGACGCGGAGAAATTGAAAGCGGCACACCTTGTCATCCACCGCCAGCGGCATAGGCTCAATGCAGCCACCGCCACCCGAGGTAGGGAGAGTACCGGTCAAACTGACATGCCGATCAACAGCTGAAACAGAGTTGGTGGTGGTTCTGATTGAGGTTATCATCAGAAAGAAAGTATTCGAGAGCCAATTCCACCATGAAATTAGACAAGGGAAATTCTCCAATGATGACGGCGTCTGACGCCATCAGACTGTTAGACGACTTTTAAACAATAGAGCATACGGCAAGTGCGATCCGGGTCCTGACGCCAGAGAGTGTCCGGTACCTCGGGACGTAGGTCTATGCCTGGATTTTCTTTTCCTGTTGTTCCAGAAGACTAATGCGTCTGCCTTTCTAAAATTGCGAACTCAAACATTGTGGACTCGACAATGGTCAGCATCGCGGACCATGTCTAAGCCGCATGCCGAATCATCGGGGTGACGAAATCTGCCGGGTTTGAAGATGAGATATAAACAAGACTTTCGAAAATTTCTCAGCTCCATATGCCATCATGATCCTGACGCTAATTTGGGAGACATACCTGGGTACCTGCGTAGTTATACTAACGATGACGATGTCCAGGGTTAGGGTCTACACCTGCACATGGCTAGTCGACGAGGGAACCCTCTGGACTCGAGTTTTGCATCAATGGATGCAAAAGATTATTGTGCTGCACAATTCTTAGACGCCGCAATGACAGGATGGTCAATGAGTACCGTCCATCGACCCAGGATCGACCTATTATCTGCTGTGGCTGCCGGTTGCAAACGTCCACCTCGACAGCTGCCGACGAGAATCTGCCAGCTGATCTTGAGTTCATAATAGACAGCTACTACCGTGGCGCGTCCGACCGCGTCATTCAATCCATCCCCAGAGACAGAGTGCTTTTCCAGTTTCCCCCATTTCTTCCAAGAGCCCAACCATAAAACATCACTTCACCTAGTATTTCTTAGTATTGGCGCATATCAAAGCTGTGGATTCATCGTTCCAGTATCCCACAATATTCAGCCCTTACTTTGTATAGATATACGATACAAACATCTCGACTGACCTTGATCTCCTGACATATCAAGGTGGTGTCCAGCGACGATCATGTTTTTCAGTCATGAGAGTATGTTCTACACGTCATGCCACTAGATGTCTAGTTACTGACCTCGTTGCTAGTTTTAAGTAACAACCAATATGGTGTCGCAACAATATGGTATCATTCAGTATGGCCTTGTTGATCCCCGGAGCATTGCTAAGGTATCCTAGGCTTGTCGCAACCGTTGGAAAAACCGGCCAGCGGAAGTTGAATCGCAAGGCCCTTCAAGACGTTGATATTCCCAGGGCGTGTGAAAAGATTCTTGATCCTGGGGCCCCTCTTGCTCTGCGGCTACAGGGGAACCTGCTATATGGAGTGTCACGGGTGTTTTCCCATCAGTGCAACTACGTTCTTTCGGATGCTGGGAAGACTCAATCGGATATGATGACCTTCTTTCGCTCCATGAATACAAGCGCGACGGATGAAAACTCAGGAAAGACCAAGTAAGCGCCATTGAAATTCCTCATGTCCCGGAGACAGAGTACAGTCAATCTAATCAGTAAAAGGCGACAACACATCACGCTCCAAGATGACCCTAGCTTCGATCCTGTGGCGATGCTTCCAGGGTTGGAAAAGTTGCTCAACACCGAAACCCTCTTCAGCTTTACGGCAACTCAGGAATCGGCCGTCAAGTACTCGCAGATGTCACCACTTGACAACGTTAGCCTAGCCAGTGCAGCCACCAGTCGCCGCTCAAGCTTCATCGGCTTGGATCTCCCTCCTTCATCACACTCTGTCGGAAGCTACCAACTCCCTGGTGACCTTGGCCGCTACAGTTCACCCTTTGATAAGGGCATCCAGGAATCAGAAAACATGCCCGAACTAGCCCCATTCGCCGACAATGAATTCAACCCAGTTTGCAGCGTTGGCCTTGATTTTGATGCTGACGGCAACTTGATCGGTATACTTGACGACGAGCCTGAACTGCCACCATTGCGTGGCACGAGTCCCGACCCTCTCCACGCGGCCGGTGTTACGACGCCGAGACTTGGGGATATAATGTATCAAGATAATCAGGGCTTGGTGGAAGAGCCCATTCCTGATCTTGGGGAAGCTGCACTGCCGGATGCAGAGCCGTTCGCTGTGCCCCCAGGCGTCGAAGAACGCAACACTGACGCACCAACACTGGCCACGGAGACCACAGAAACTGGAAAAGCCGCAGCTCCATGCAGAGTTTCCCATCGTCGAAAGTTTCCAGAAATGCTTGACCAAGAACTCCGAGTCCCACGAGACGAGTTTCGTGGTTGGACCGAGAACTATGCCACAAACATGCTCGCGGCCCGGAACAGAATCAAGGCCACAACGCAAGCAAAAGCTAAACAAAATGCACTCGCGTTTCTCTACTGGAAGGGGCTAGCACAAGTTGGCGATTTCCAGAGAGACTTCGGCATCAATCACCCATTGGCACACGAATTCGCTGGTACAGCTCTAAAGGCTCACGTTTTGGGGCTCAACGTAGACGATATTGAGGATATCAATCCGAAGAAGGGCAGACGCCGCAAGTCGCCCGAAGCATTTGGGGACGGCCACGGCGACATCAGAAACGTACGACGGCGTGTAGACGAAGATGAGTTTGCGCGAGGAGAAGCTGCCGGGCCCGGAGACGGCCTCGATCTCGGCCACGACTCGGCTCCAGAAATGGGCCTAGAAGCCGGCGCAGCACTCGAGGACAAACACTCGTCCTCCCTGATGCCCTGGAGCCGTCAAGGATCCGCGGCACCTGGATCGGCCCCCCGCGCCCTGGGAAGTGCTCAGAAGTCCGTCACGGCGCCCAGCCCCCTCCACGGCCGAGGAAGCCTCATCGGCTCCGTCGAAAGACAGAGCGATCCTATCGAAGGCTCTCTTGGCGTTGTCGGCTTCGACTCCCAGCTGTCGTCGATGGACTTTGAACAGGGCCTCCTGAAACCCAACTTTGATGCCGCAAACGACACTCTTCCGTCTACCCAAGGGCTAGACACCTCCAGCCAACGCTTCCTGACGTACGTTGCAAACCAATTCGCGGCGGAGGATGCCCTCGGAACCCACGACGCACAGCACAAGTACTGGATTGATTTCGACAGTCTTGCCCATCCGGACGTTCACACCAAGGCCATCGCTGCACAAGCCTTCCTTCACGTGCTTTCCCTCGCGACCAAGAACGTCATTTCCGTTGAGCAGGATGGCATCGAGGACAAGCAGCCCTTTGGCGCTCTCCGCGTCGGGCTTACAGGCCATGTTCTTGACGCGGCTGCCGCCATCGTTGAATGATTCTAGTTCTGCCAATGATGCGGGACTCGCATTTGAGCGACAACGCGTCCATTACAACAGCAAGTTCCCGATGTTCTCGGAGACTACAAGATTTTGTTACTTTTTTCTTTTTCATGACATGCTTTTTCCCCTTCTCGTTCTTATTGTCCATTCTACTCGATTGATCATTTTTATCATTGCTATTCTTTGACTCTTGAGTTTGATATTACATGGGAGATGTAGTAAGTCATCACCAAAGTTGGCGGATGGTCAAGTGAACCGTTAACCTGATTCTGGGACTGGGACAATATTGGCGAATATTTCAGATCATGGCGAGAGTTTCATCAGGCGAATGACAAAAAAAATAATTTTTTTTTGGGGGGGGGGAAGGGGAGGGGGTTTTGATTTTCCATTTTTGAGCATTCTCTACCCAACTCTATATGGGAAGGCGGCGACCTGTGGGATGGGATGGGATGGTGCGATCTATCAGGGGACAGTCGGCGTTCAAGTTGAATTTTTATATTGCTGGGCTATGGCACCACATGTACAGGGTGGAAAAAGGACTGCTGGTGGCATAATTATTTATTTGGTCACATGAATTCATAGGCGGTAAGCTTAGTTCTTAAATGCATCATCGTCATCATTCACGCCTTCCCTATCCTCAAACTGCATGTAATTTTCCTCGTCGGCCCCACCAACAAATTGCCATGCTTTTTTCACATACTGTAGGATAGAGTCGTTAAAAGCCAAATCGGACGTCATCCAGTCAAAGGTTCCAATATTGCCTGCAGAGGCAAAGGAGCCTGTACCAGTTACTTGTTCATAGTGCATTCGCCAGGGGCATTCAGGCGGCTCAGATGTTGGGATCGCGTTCAGGAAAGATGAGAGTGCATTATTCAGAAGACTCTTGGAAGTGGAGCTAGAGACTGTGCTCAGATACACGATGCCTGGTATTTTATCTCGTTAGCGAGCTGCTTTCGAAGAGGCTTCCCCAGAATAATGAGCAATGAGATTGTGCAATCAGGTTGTCAGAGATAAGAATCGTCATTGTAATTCAGACAATGTAGATAAGTATTCGTTTTATTTGGCTCATCCGAACACGAACATAGGCATGAAAAATCAAGAAAGGGGAAGTACTCACATTGTCCGGCTGGACATTCACCAGTATCACTGGAATGAACCAAAGCATAAATGGGAAACCCAGAGGCAGTACCATCATCAGTTGAGATGGAACCGACAGGGAATGCTACAACTGCTGCGCAAGGTGTTGGGGCACCTTCAACGATGACTTGCAACATGCTGGACAAGGGGGAGTTGACAACAGCGATGAGTCTGCTGAGAAGGACACTATCGGTTGCAGTCTCGTCGGTGCTTTGGACTAAAGTTTTTGACTCTACGGCCACGCCATTGGTGAGAGAAACTTGGACGTTTGTCTCGCCGTCAGAATCCATGTGCTGCACCTCGGAGATGCCAGTCCCCAACATGTAAACTGCACCGCCAACAGCACCGGCACGACAACCTACCTGAGCCACTTCCGAGAGGCCCCCCCATTTGGGGTACACGGCCGCGAAGCCTGCTCCGAACAAGCCCATCGAGGTGAGATGGCGATGAATAGCGGCCAATCCATCGCCTACCGAAATTTTGCCATCTGTGGAGAGAGTCAAGGTGACGACGTATGACTGCAAGTCACCATCCAATTTGAATTCCCTTTCCAGGAACTCGGCAAGTGGTTCTGATTCATTCGGTTTCCACAACTCAGTCCCCGATTCGGTGTCATAATCAAGAACAAACTTGAGAAACTTCATCAACGAGCGCTTCGCACGAGCTGGAATAGTGGTGTTGGAAAAGACATCCTCTCTCGTGGACGGTATCCGACTGAGTGTTGGCTCTGAGGATTCCCCAGCGGCTTGATAGATGAAGAACGACCCGACGGCCAGGAACTCGATCTGCCGAAATGCCTTCGATGAAACCAACTGGTTAACCAACTCAGATTGTGCAAGGATCAGCTGCGGAGCTAAAGGAATGCTATACGATCGTGAAGCCGCAAGTCCTTCACTCTCCTTGGTGATCTCCGCTCCAGCAAATGGAGTGGCATTCGGACCGCTGTGCCTCGCAGCCCAGTTATCGGCCTCCTGAAGACTCAACGCAGCTTCAGTACCACCATAGTACTCGTTAGGGTCGACGTGTAGGACATTTTTCCCCGACCGCGACAGAGCTCTTTTGCAGATGGTCAGCAACAAGACCTAAAGTCAGTCCGACTGATTTGGGGAGGAAAGAACATAGCCAATGGAATCCAAGAAGCTTACAGGGCCAGAAGGGACTGTTGTAGCCCTGTGCCGCTGATCACTACATCCCACTGTGTATCTGAGAGGGATTCCATGGTGTGGAGGATGAGAGGGAGGCGAGTGATGGAGAAGAAAGTTGAAGTATTTTATTTTGCAGATCGGATGGAGGGTTTTTGCATGCCGGGCTCGTGAGTGGTGGGGTTTGGGCTTAGTGGCTTGCGTGGTAGGCGAGTACTTCTCTGCGGGTCGTCAATTCCCCCTCAGGATTTTTTTTCTCCTTTCTTCATTCACCCGCTCTTTTCAACGACCAATGCATTGTGTACCGCTGTGTATGTCGCATTGCGCGTCAAAAATTCATGCAATTTCGCAAGAGTGGTAGATTAATTTGTCGGCCGGTATCTACTGCCCTAGAATAACGCCTGAAAGGGTAGTTCGAATGGTTGACACATGCCTAATCAGCTGTCCGTTGTACAGCCACCATGGCTGTTTAGCTATATCTACGTTTGCGGTTTTTAATTCACTTAAATCGGACCAGGAAATATGGGTATCATTCATGTTCTGTTTTGATTCCGTATTTAGTTGCTGGTTATCGCAGCTGTAACGCCCTTCCACCTTTGGTTTGCCCAGCTCATAAGACTCTTTGATCGGAGTAGCTTTGGTGACAGTACGACGCCCCCATGCTTGGATATGGACAATATCCTCATAGCTTCTTCCTGACAATCGACTACAATTGTGATGCTTTCATCGCACAGTGATTCCTCGAGTCTGTCAGGGTCGACCAATAGCCAGAACCTTCCATCAGTCGGCCTGTCCGTCTCCTTGCCTGTAAACACGGCCGCTGTGCAAGCAACGGGCATTCCCGTAATCGTGAGCGGCTTCGGGTCCTTTCTTGTGCAAAGAACCATATCACGGTCGGGATCGTAACGTCCCCGAGGCAGTTTGGTGTCTCGCAATGCAGCGAGTGTCGCAGCCCAGGCTGCGTCAAATGGATTTCCGTCGAAGGAAATAAAGAAGATGTCAATGTATAGCACCCAGTATGCGGCCACGTACTCTTCTCCACTCTGTTCATCCACATTCTCTCCGTCTTCGTCCATCTTATCATCGTCATCGGCAACCATGCGTTCAGACGGCCGAGTGTGCCATATCCGCAGATCGTCTGGTTGGAGCAGTTTTGAGTCGTGAAGAAGAGAATATATCCTGGTGCTCAGAGTTTGGGCCAGCGTTGTGGGGGGGCCTCCTGGTAGAAACTGGGGTGAAGATCCCGTGGCCAGTTCAATGTTTGGAACAAGCAGGTCATAATCTCGAAGCTCAGTTTCTCTGTTAGAGGCACGGTAGTTGGGAACGTGTTGTGTCAAAATGGTTTCACCGCGAACGCCGCAGATGGCAGTCGTGTCTCCCATGCGAACCAGAGAGCTGCCATGCGGGTGTGACAGGCTTGAGAGATTGACGGTCGTCAGGCGAAGTTGATCCGGGGCGCGGCCATTGCTTCGTGCCGGTGCAACATGGTCATCGGAAGGTTCCAGGTTGGCAAGAAGATATGGATGAGGCGAGAGTTTTGCAAATGTGGCACGCGAAAGACCCGCATCAGGCGCCATGATGACAAATCCGAGCGCCTTATTATGGTGGAAAAATCCTAGCGTAGGTCTTGATTCGGCGTAAGATGTGACCTAGATCTTTTTGAGCATGGAAAGGCTGTTGAATGTTCAAGCTTGTGTTGCGAAGCTGGAGGATGGCAGGAAAAGTCGGCTGCAGCCTCATGGGGAACGTTGGTGGGCTAGACAAAAGTGCTTGAGAGGGGCCAATTGGTCAATTGGCATAGCCGCCCCGCCAAATCTCAAGCTTCAACATCGAGGGTTGACAGCTCCAGTAAGTTAATTGGAGTACAAGTAGAGGCAGCCTCGGCACCGTCACTTGTCTCCGACATTGCACCTTCTTCTTTCGTAGTTTGACGGTTCACTTTAACAAGGCCATGGGATCCGGTCACTTCACTTAGACGCTTCTCGGTCTTGGACAGAAGCGGTTCACCCCCCGACCAATACTGTTTGTTGTTATAGAAAATGGTGTGTGAAGTACAGGCGCTTGCCGCTTCCCATAATTGCCAATGCCCATACGGAGTACTGACTTGTCCTGGCGGACCATGCCAATGGCTGAATTAGTCGACCAAGCACGAGATATCACATCATGATCGAATCAAAGGAGCCAACAGACAATACAGGGCAACGGGCTGCCCGAACAAGGAAGCGATCTGCACACGAAATATCGTCGGATACTGAGGCCGAAAGTGTGGAGGCGGGAAAACTTCACAGTGCAACGCCATGTCGGCTGCAGGTCGCTTTTGCGATCCAGTAATTGGCCGGGGCGCTGGGAATAACAGGTTGGTTTGTTTTTGTGGCCGGAATGGAACTGTTGAGAAGGATTGACAAGTTGGACAGACACATCATGAGCACGAAAAGCAAGGTGCATGCTACCAGACTGCATATGTATGTGACACGGCGCAGAGCTCTCTCATCGACGCTGCAATGTTCGACCCTGACATGTCTGGTGGTCCCCTGGTGGTGCATTCTGTACGCCGTCCTCTGTGCCTGCACATGTCAACAGGTGCTCTCAGTGCCGCATTCTGTAATACTCCCAGCCTCCAGTTGGTAACTACCACCACGACTGTACTCGTGCCACGCCCCACCATTAGGTAACCTATGGTGGTGAGAGCTTCTGTAGCTGAATTACCTAATGGTGGGG